GAAAATGAAAATGAAAATGAAAATGAAATAAAATATTCAAACTGGAAAGAATCTTAAGAAACAAATGAAAAACAGGGTGACAAATGTGGGAAGATCGGGGTCTTGCAGATACCAAATAAAAAGGCAGAATCTGCTGCATTTTAAGAAGCAAATATTGCCAAATCTTTGGCATGACAGAGTTTCTTGATAGGCAAAGAAGCAGCTGAGGAATAGGTATGACTTCCCCTAGTACCTGGCTTAATTTTCATAACCACTGGTTTTCTGTTTTTGTCCCGCATTTGTTTGATGTCAAGTAAATCATGGGGATTGCCATTGTGCCTTGGCCACCAATAAACGAAAATGCGAGACCCACTGCTTCCACAATCCACCATGATGCCGTAATTCAGCTTTGGGTTGCTGGTGTCTGTGGCTTCGGTGTCTGTAACTCGGGCAAGGTACCTAGGAGAGAGAGAACGGAAGAACTGCTCAGAAGCAAGTCTCACTGAACCCAGGAAGGCTGCAGAGGAAACAAGGAGAGGACAAAGCCCTAATGTCAATCACGCTGAACTTGATTGCTGTGGAAACACACATATGTAAGAACAATTATAGGATGACGTTTCACTTGCTTGATTTGGAGGTTCAACGCTTCAGCTGGGTCTTTCACTGAGTGACATTGGACTAGCCACCAACACTCAGCCCAGCCTACTACTTCAGCGGACTGCTATGGTAGAGATTAAATGAGAGGCAGCCCAGATTTGAACCAATTTAAGTTTATACAGAAATGGAGGGGGTATTAACACACAATGAATAAGTTTAATGTAAGGTGATCTGTCTCATTTTGTTAGGTATACAGCTTTGGATTTGTTTTTAATCCACCAGAGAAAGATTACCTGTGCAGCTTTTTGTCCCGGGAGCTGTATTTTAAAACAGAGTAATATAATATGAAAAATGCAGCAGCAAGGAGTCCAGTGACAATAATTTGTCGTAATGTGGTGTTCAGTATCCGTGGACACCCAACAGGGGAAATACTGAAGTGCCAGGAAGCAGGAAAAAGGCAAGAGAAACTGATCCTGGAATGAAGAAAAACAAGACATCTGTGTTTAAAATTCTGTGCTGGCACCCCACAGATACAACTGTTGGAAGCCACATGGTGAAATATATCGCTCTTCATTTAAAAAAAATGAATAATTTTCAGAAAAAAAGTATTTTTTCTGCCAAGTATTCAGTCCAAAGTTTAGAAACCTTTCTTTATAAACATGGGTATATTCTTATCTGACAGTATTTATAGCCCTGACCTTCCATAACAACACAATGTACAAGGTTATGTATTCAGAAAATATATGAAAACCCAAGGATCAAATATTTATTTATGGTTGAATAAATGAACAAGCGTAAGGTAAATCCTTTTTTGAAATATATGCATTCACTAAAATCAGGAAACAATGCTCTTATAATGAACAATTATAAACAAGACTATACAGAGTTATAAGGTTATAAGCAAGACTAGCAAGCAAGAACTTTGGGAAGAGAGGAATGATTGCTGAATGAAATAGCCAGATTGAGAATGGTTGGAGGTGGCAAACAGATTAACATGGAACATTCTGAAACATTTTTCATGTAGTTTTAAATAGTTCAGCTCTTCCAGTGTGAACATCTGAAATATTGTTGTTGGAACAGCATGTTTTCTAAAAGGGAACTATGAATCAAGAAATGTAAATATTGGCTGGAAGAACTAAAATGTCTAATTCAGAGGTATCAAACTCAATTTCATTGAAGGCTGGGCGGGTGTGGCCGACTAGGTGGGTATGGCCAACTGGGTGGACGTGACCAGCTTGACGCTACTCCCCAAACTGCTGGCATGTTTCCTTTTCACATTGGGTAGATTGGGCTGAAGCTACGTGGGCCCGACAGCAATAGCACTTAAGACTTACGTAGCGCTACGCAGTGCTTCACAGCCATCTCCAAATGGTTTACAGAGTCAGCCTCTTGCCCCCAACAATTTGGGTCCTCATTTTACCAACCGTGGAAGAATGGAAGGCTATGTGAGTCTTGAGCCTGGTGAGATTTGAAATGCCGAATTGCAGTCAGCTGGCAGTCAGTAGAAGTAGTCTACAGTACTGTGCCACTGTGGCTCATCTTTCCTCTTTGCACTGGGTAGTCCAGGCTGAAGCTAGGCTGTCTGATTTTTTGTATTCGCATCGGGTCCCAGGACAGCCCT